ATGTCATCCACGACGGTCGAAATGTCGGCACTGTCATGTATGCAAAACAGGTTAGATGCAAACAGGACGTGTACTGAATAGGTGAGACAGTACAAGTGGGGAGGCTTGTCGAAACGGCTAGGTATATGGCAGGGGGGGGATGTCATAGGCTGAAGGGTGGCCAATTAGCACAAAGAAGGTCTGAACAGGGGTACATGACCTTGACGGATCGTTCGTCACGCGCGTGTGGCATGATGTCTTGGCAGCCCGGGCAGCAAAAGCTGCAGTCCCCACCATGGCAGCATGTGGGCTTGCGTGAAGTGCCTTTGACGTCGTTCCTAAGCGTGTATTTTGTAAGTGTTGGGAGTGCCTGCACTCCTAAAAACGAGAGCCAGTCAATCACTGGAGGCAACGTGCGTTTTCCTCTAGAGCGCTGTCAGCATGATCTTGGTGCCTCGCCATTGGCTGCTCCCTCGAGCCTGATCGACCCGTGTATTCGAATTATCGATCAGCTCGTCTATAATTTTCTTCTCGAAGTGCATTTGGCCGAATGCAGGCAAACCCCAGTAGGATGTGCTAAATACGCTTTGCTTTCCAGTTAAACTTGACTTGCAGTTTCTAAATACCGTATCTTAGATGCTCTTCAACTTTCTGCTGCATTTAATCAACAAACCGAGTTCATGTATCTCTAAGTGCGGTTAACGCATGACATTCTGTGTTCATCTGGGCAGTTTTTGTTATTCCCCTTGTATTTCTTTCATGTTACTTCCTTTCCACTTTCTCCATATACTTCCTCCGCATGTAACCAATAGGGATTTCAAAGGTACACACCTACTTTCCCTGAAATACACTGATACTGATACACTTTTCGCGGCCGGTCGCGTTCTCCTTCTCTGCCGTGTTGGTATTGGGGACAAGGGTCGGGTGCGCATATGCTCCACGTGAACTCTAAGTGCCAGGCCGGGCCACAACAGTGAGCCTTATGAAAGCTGCGATAGACAAGAGTCACATTGGAAGAAGGCATAATTTCCCACAAATTGAGTGCAAAGGAGAAATTTTCTGTCCTGTCTTTAGGGACAATGATACTGCCTTCAGCAGACCTGGATAAGAAGTTCTTTCTGCACCACTTGATCGAAAGGATATCCCGTCAGACGTCAGCACGCAGACTGAGTTGGCCCGTCACTTGGCAGTTTTCCAAGCCACGGCATCGTGAAAGTCTGAATGCGAGTGGGATTGTTTATGGAGAAGGACGTGCTGAATTGCTGTGAAAACCGAGTCCTCAGAGTCCACTTCACAAGGCACCAGTCCACTGTCCGAGCCGGTTAGTCATCTGACTCAGGGAGTGAGTGCAAGTGAATGACTGAGTTAAACAGTCCGTCTACGCGTGCCATACACGACCTGGCCAGACTAAACACACCAGGTTTTCGCGAAAGGATGGGCGCCCTAGGCCCCGAGGGAAGAGCCGATGAACCGGGCCTTCAGTCCACAAGTGGGTCATCTTTGAGATATACCGTCAGTGGGAAACCTACCAATCCACGAGAATTTGTGCGTCTTTTACGCGACAGTTCACCTCTCGTGACCGACGATGTCCACCGTGCACCCCGTAGCTGAGTAGGAGAAGGGACGGTGACTTGCGCATGAGTTCTTCTATAATGATATTTGAATTACATCGCACCGACCACACTCTCTCCTCCTCCCACCTGAACCCGGAGTCATTACAGAGTCAAGAAGGTCGGGGGCGGGAGTGGGCATGTGGCAGTTCACGTCTCCTCGCCCTCCGCCTTTGGCACGCTGCTGTCCTGTCCGCCTCACACTCCGTGTCGATACGCTCCTGGGACGCGCGAGTGCTCGAAGCCAATCAACGCTGTCCCCACTCTGATTGGCTGGCGGACGTGAAGACAACAAAGGGCGCACACACGCGCTGAGAACACCTCGAAGGCGGACACAGACAACAGCTTGCTTGGAGCACGCTTGCGGCGACTGCCCACACAGCCCTTGTGTACGCACTTCCTCAGGCAGTAAAGGTTGTCCAACTCAAACCGTCTTCCCTGACTTTTGATTGGGAATCTTTATCTTGTCGACCACATAAAATCCGACAGGCACATGTGGCTGACACGGCGACAACGAGAACCTAGGCGTACTATCACACAACTTTGGTCCACAACGCACACTGACTGTGATTTTACACCAAGAAAGAAGGAGGGCTGGCTCGGATCCCACTGGGCGAGAGTGCCATGGAAGTCATATTAAGAAGGAGGCATTGCAGTGACTGACTTTCAGTGCACCAGTCGGCCGCACCAAACAAACACACCCTGGACTGACTGCGAGCTCCGAATCATCCGCTCGGTTGGCAACCTGCCAATACACGGCTTTTAACGCACTGTGATAGATCCGAGCCCGTTAGATTGTTTAAAGAGAGGAAAATACCCTGAGACGTCAATACATGGGGGGGGGGGGGTGCCCAATACCTGTTCCCACAAATATGTCCTCATCTGTACGTGGAATACCGCCCTGCGTACGCGGCATGTCGCATGCCTCGTGAACAGCATCCACTGAACAAGAGATAATGAACTCTATCTGCGAATGTCTCTGATGATGGATTCGAGTGAGAATCCGAAACGTCAGGCAAATAAACTTCTTGTCCCAGTGATCGCATTTTCATCTTCTGAGATAATGAACTGCTGGCATAGTCGTGAGGACATGTGGCAAATATGCATAAGCACAAGCACTTTAGGAATGGAGATCCTCCTTGCTTGACGTGGAGGACTCGGAGAGGACATGATTTTCTACAGGATGGGTGCAGGAAATTCGCATTCACGAGCCGCCTACGCAGGTCACCTTTCTTTAAATGACAGAACAATATCACCGCAAGTGTCGTCATCATGTGAAGAGATCTTTTTAATAAAATGACTGTCTAGAGAGAGAGAGAAATGTCTGCATTTTACACAAAATTGTCTGCAAAAATCTACCACAAGGTGAGGGAAATCATTTTTTAAAGATCCAGATTGCGGAGACGGATGTGCATGATGGAGGTGTTTGTGAGGCAGGTGATGTGCAGAGCAAGTGATGACAAACCGCAGACAATAGCAACCGAGACCTTTCCATGCGTTACACCACATGTCCCCACTGCGCTAATTAGACTGCGCAGCAGGATACTGGTTTTCGTCTGCACTGTAGTCCGCGGTCACACCACTGACTCTTGCTGCCTGCATGAATTACATCAGATCATATAGGAAAGATTAAGTGTGAGTGAATTTCTTGCGTTTTTTGTCCCAATAATCGATTTTGTTGCTTTACAGTAATGTTTACAGATGCCGGTTAAAACGCAAACAGTTTTCCCCCTCTCTGCCTTCTTTCGTTGGTGGCGATCGGAGCAAAACCAGACGCGTCCATCAAGAGGGCTCTGTTTACGCAAAATATTTTGCAAGTCTACTTACTTAGCTCCAGACATTTGTAACATGAAAACAACCATGCCACGCATAGGGCTTTTAAAGCACTACTGTTCAGTCGTGCTTCGAAGGGTCCGCCTACGCTCCCTCGCGGGTCCTAGAACCCTCTATTGATACCGCTCTCCCGTGCCCTACTTCTTACCAATCTAGCTTTATCTGTTTTATTCTTTTTAGAGTCAGGTTTACCTAACAAAAAATCGAATAAATTATTCTTCGGTAGCGAAGTGAATTCGTCGATCAGCTGGTAGTCTAATACCGTAAATGCAGGCCCACTTGATGCATCTAAAACAAATGATCGCAAAGTTAGTTGTCCGACTGGAATGCAGGCATGTTGCGGCAGCTTGTCGCTACGACGATGAGGTACGGTGTCGAATGGAAAGAGAAGGATCAGATATGGTTATGTGGCCCCACCTGCAGTAAACAAACCTCAGCCATCTGTCCTACGGGATCGGTGGTAACAGGGGTTTTTAGAGGTTTGGCCAGGGAACGCAAAGGCCATGAGGTCACGTACTTGTAGGCAAAAGAAAAGCTATTGGGAATGCATGGTTGTGTTGTGAATGGCTGAGAAATAGTTGCCCTAACTCCTAACCATAACCCCTAACCCCTATGCCTAACCCCCTAACCCTAACCCCAGCCTCAACAGTATTGTGTCCACCGGGTGAAACTACATAACCAGATCTCACCAACAGAAGTTTCATGCTAGTGGAGAGAACATCGTACTCCTATACAGGATGAATGGAGTATAAGCTGGAACAAGTTGGCAGTCGGAGGGGGGCACATGTACGGCGCGACCAGAGCGCCTTGAGCGAGCGCATGTCTGAGTCTGCCTGGACGCTGATTGGTCGGTCTGGGCAGCCGCGACTGGTGGGGAACCAGACTGCCGCTGGTAAGTGCTTGTAGGCACGCACGAGAGGCTTGCCGCGACAGTATTGTTTTTCACTATCTTGCAGACGTTTACGAACGCATTTTGCTGGACAAAACAAATACCCGGGAGCCTAGTCGGTGAAAACAGAGACATCCACAAGAAGACCTTTGGGCATTTCTCTCACGCTCATATATTGGACTGTTATCCTGTATAAAACATCATTTTACCATGCCGAGGGTTTCTAAGGCGTTACTTTTCTGTCATACGTGAAAAAATGGCGCATGTGGAAGGGATGAAGAATGAGGTGACTTATTGAGCTGATTCTGTAGGAGATCATGCATTCTCAAAATTCTGTACACCTCGATTTTTTAAGCATTTATGACTATGGACTTTTGTGAAATGCCCTCAAGATTATGCGTGACGCCCACCCTCCCCTGCCTAGTCAATGTTGTTTACGAAATATGAAGCATGCTGCTTACACGAGGCAGTATTTTCGGGCAGGTAAATGTTCGTGCTTTATCAGAACAGGTAGGGCCATGCGATTTTCTCCTTCGATGACGGTGCAGAGTATTCGGTTTTTGGGTCCTACGAACATGGGAAATGTATGCGGTGAACAGACATATTCAACAGCGTAGTATTTAACTTATCTGAAGGTCGCTTAGCGTGTGGCCTTCTTCTGGGTTGTAGATGCAGCCTCGGCCTGGAGACTACGAGGCGCTGATCCATCCAGGCGTCGGCGTCGGAGATAGCCTTGGTCGCCACCAGCACGTCCTGTCGACCTCGCTTCCGGACGAGGGCGTTGACCAGCAGCTTTCAGTGATGAGATCCGAGGTGCATACAGGTGGTCTTCTTGTGCACCGGAATGTGCAAGGTGTTGTTGGGTAGGAGGAGGAGGCGGTGTTCTGCGCGGGTTCGTAGGAGAATGTGCCGCTAATTGCGTGGCGAACTAGCGCTCCCCTCCAGGTCGCGTAGACTGTCCCAACACGGGAATTGAAGTTACCAAGGACAACCAGCTTATCCACCTTGGGCACAGCGTGCAGGTCCTCGTAGAATTTGGTCTTTGCTTCCTCGGATTTGGTCCTTGGTGGGACGTAGGCGCTGATGCTGGTGGTGAATGCGACTCCCCCAAGAGGCAGGCGTAGGCTGGTGAGGCAGTCGTTAACCCCCTGCAGCAGACAGGGCAGTTGTCCCACGATGTCGCTTCGAATGGCAAATGTGACTTAAACATCGGGTCCCTTTGCCTTTAGGTGGCCGCTCCAGAAAATGTTTTTTTTCGGCATCCATGTCCTCCAGTTTGCATTGTTTTCAGAAGCTAGGAGCAGCGATGCCCACTTTGTCGCGCGCCAGTTCTCAAGCGCCCATTACCACCCTCTAATCCGGTCGGTTGCTCCCTGGATTTTCTAAAAGTGGGCTGACAGTTCAGGCTGGCGAATTGAGCGTACTCACCCTAGCGGCCTGTAGGGTGGGGCGGAGGGTAGGGGGATGAGGATGGTTGTTGTGCATTGCTGTGTCCGACCGCAAATTTTGCACCTACAGTAGATGTGCTAACTCATGAAATGTCAACCGAAATGTCGAAATGCGTTCTCGTTTCGAAAAGATAAATTAAGTAGTGTTGTAAAACTATTCATGATGCAGCATAAATCTATAATGATCCAGTTACCTCAGGGTGTCGGCTTTCGAAAGAAATTATTTTCGGCTGCATGCAAGATATATACTCTGCAAAAAATGACTACTTATGTAGCATGCAATTTTCTCATTGATTTTCGATGCCTTTGAAAATTCAATTATATTTCATGGAAAGCATACATAAAAATATTCATTCTTTTACTTATTCGGTAGAAAATCACGTCTTCTTCCAACTTCATTCTCAAAAGAAGAGTATAATTCGGTTTTAAAAAAGTTTCCAATTGTGAGATTTTTTAATACCGTTAAATGGCCGTTCATGAAACGTCATGTATCTGCATTTACGAATGTGGCTTGTAAAGTTAACAATATTGCTCAAATCCACTGCTTAATTTTATGAACCTCATATGGTCTCCTCTTAACACCGTAGAAAAATGAATGCAATATTGTTAACTTTACAAGCCACATTCGTAAATGCAGATACATGACGTTTCATGAACGGCCATTTAACGGTATTAAAAAATCTAACAATAACAAACTTTTTTAAAACCGAATTATACTCTTCTTTTGAGAATGAAATTGGAAGAAGAAGTGATTTTCTACCGAATAAGTGAAAGAATGAATATTTTTATGCACGGTTTCCATGAAATATAATTGAATTTTTAAGGGCGTCGAAAATCAATGAGAAAATTGCATGCCACATATGTAGTCATTTTTTGCAGAGTGTATATCTTGCATGCAGCCGAAAATAAGTTCTTTCGAAGGCCCACACCTTGAGGTCACCGGATCATTATAGATTTATGCTGCATCATGATTAGTTTTACAACACTACTTAATTTATCTTTTCGAAACGAGAACGCATTTCGACATTTTGGTTGACATTTCATGAGTTAGCACATCTACATCTACGTTGCACGGTGCATTTGTTTAAGGCATTATTTCAAGTCTGTTACCCACCAGGGGGTAAGCAGTGTTATCCCTAAATAAGACTGCTTAGATATCCCAGACGGCTGCCGAACTTCACTATGGGTTACGACTTTGTTTATTGGAGAGCAAACCGAATTAGCCTGAACCACCTATGTGATTGCATTGGCTTTAGAATTTTTTCTTTGGTTGAAGTGCAGAGTATGCAGTTTGCGAAGCTTGCGAAAGAGTGAATATGAGGTTTATTTTTCAAAATAAACATGTTCCTGGGGACATTTTTCAACCGAAATACATCTTCATCTAAGTACAGGAAATGAAGAAGACACAATTCCCCATAAATTGTGTACGAAAGATGAATCCTCTGTGTCAGATGACGTTCTATTTACCAACAAAAGCGAAGGAACGAGTCCCAAGGAGCAGTCGTGAAGAAGGAGACATCATCTTGTTCCAGCGGTCATGTCTCCCTCTTCATGACATTCTGTTTATTGGCAGAATAGCATTACCGACAAAGACAAGGGAGACTGGAATGGCCATTTCTGGCTTATTAGCCGTCGTCAGCCAGCCATACCCAAGCCCGAAGTGTGGCACACCCGAGCCTCGAACTCGCGACCTGTTGGTTTAGAAGTCCACGCCTCTACCCACCGGGGCACGAGCCCGTTGCCCTGTTTATTCCTGTTTCATCTGCAGGGTTGGACAGGTAGATGACAGGTTTTGACGTTTAGGATAAAAGAAGGACGCTGTGTGAGGAGTGCATGTTTTGCAAATTCGCTTGCTGCAGCATTTACATTTTCGACTACGCTGCCCTGGAGGATCAACAGTCTTTAATGTGCTACTATTCTGTCATTCTATAGGAAATCACATCAGCTGCAATTTATGCGCGTGAAGAAACGGTAAACGGGATTTTTAAAATGCTTTTGATAATGGGAATTCTTAAAATGGCATCACAAGCACGCCTGAAGTTCACTATTTCCATCTCATGTAATGCTGTTCGCGTAGCATGCATCATGCTGCCTACATGGGCAGCATTCTACGAGTGGACGAAGACTTTTATCTGGAGACATTAATTTCCTTCGGCAATAGTGCATAGTTTGGGATTCTGGAAAAGGAATGTGCTCACCAAAACAGATTTTTTGTGATGCAGACGGCACCGGAGAGTTAAATACACAACTCTGAAAAAACGTTTAAATGACTGGCTGAACTAGTCGACCTTGAGTTTATCCATTTTTTTCTTCGTTCTCCGCCCCGGTATTTTGGTGAATGTTCGGCTGGTGTGACAGCTTCGTGCGTTAAGAGTCATCACCTCGAGGGAGTGGTTGAGCCTCTGGTGGCGGGGGGATTGTGCGGTCCCCCTCTGGGTAAGCCGTTGACCGGCTGTCTGCTCGGTTTCTCCAAGCTCCCTGTGGCCGTCATGTTCCGGTCTTTGTGTAAGTAATGCCGCAGGACTTGAAATGCCTCGGACTGATGGGATCCTTCCCCGAAGGTCAAACGTATGGCCAGTTTCTCCAAAGTGTGTTGCAAGCTGAGAAGTTGGACCTAGCCACGGAGTCTCCATTATGCGCTTACGTGGGCAGGTCTGCAAATTTCCTCCGGTCTCCCCAACGTACTTGCCTTTGCCATCACTGCAACATATTTGGTATACAACTGTCGAGGTTTCAGTAGGAGGTAGTTTGTCCTTAGGTTGCACCGAACGATGAACGATTGTTGCTTGGTGTCTTGAGGTATGGTTACTTTGTCGGGCTATATCCTTCGAGAAACCATCTGAGAGACCCCTCTGGTGTAGGGAGTATCATCCAAACTTCGGTTTGCTGCTCCTTTGGCCGTTGTCCATTGGCTAGACGCCTGATTAGCCTGACAAATTAACTTGGGTATCCATTTGCTCTGAAGAAGTTACAATGACATAGTCGCTCAGCTCTTCTCCCGACTGGCCTGCTGCAAGTGTTTAAGTTTTTTTTGAAATAGAGTGTGGACACAGCTGTTTGTGGTACAGAGGGTGGTCACGAACGAGGGCAAATGTCGGTTGCGCATTTTTCCAAACCGAAATCCACCCTTCTTCAACGGCAAGGTGGGAAGAAGGCGGAATTTCCCACAAACTGAATATAAAACAGGCAGTTGCTGGTTCAGTGGATGTTTCGTTTTTGTTTTGATTCCGTATGCAGAGTTGGGTCAGACAGGAGACCGGAAAGGGGCGCTGACTAGACCGTGCATTCTGATCATGCAAACGACCTTGTTGTCGTTTTTTGAAATAATGCTAACAAGTCGCAGTTTGAGAAGCACTAGCGCAAACAGCTCAGCTAATTAAATTTTGCCGCTGAGCAGAACACAAACCTAAGAAGTAATGTAGCCGAAGAATTCAATCGATTTCTTTGTCAGGTAAAACTGATTACTTAGCAAGCCGGATTGATAAAGTGAGTCAAAGAGAGAACAGGGGGTCAGGTACGAGAGCCTGCAAGGGAAGGTGGACGCCGAATGAGGCGCGCAGGCGGTTTAGATGGAAGAGAGGAATTCACTTTATTTTAAAATCATAAATTCAAAATTTTCAGCAAAAATGGGCCCATTCATTGCGGGCAGTAAGTAAGCTAATACATTACTCAAGGGTCAAAAACTTGAACACAAAAAGAACAATAATTATGAGGGCAGTTAAAGTCTTAGTTTCTGTATTTCTGTCTCTCCATACGTAAGATAGTGCGCCAGGAATGGCAGTACAGAATCTCTACTTCACGACGTGCGACAAGAGGTATGTCGGAAGCTGCGGCGCATGGGGCGGCAGGCTTCGCGGAAATAGGATGAGAATGCAAGGGATGGGCAACTTCATCGAGAATTCAACCAGCAAATTGCTTGACCGTTTTGAAATGTCGTTGTAGGATGGTATCGATCAAAAAAGACAGAAGAAACGCCGGCGGCAGGAAAGAGCATTCAGAGGACACGTTTTAAAATTAACAGATCTTTTTTTTCAGAAAAGCAGGAAGAATGACAGGAGAGCAATACAGAATAAGAGGAAGAATGCGGGCATCTACGAATAGCCAGATTAAGGGCTGAGGTTTGTGATAGGAGCGTAAACGACGAACGTGATAGTGAAGTTTACGAACTTCAGTGAAAAGGGACTCAATATGGAGGGAGAATGAAAGATTTGATGACAAGGTAACGTGAAGGTGCCTGAAAGGGGATACCTCGTTGAGAAGGATGTCAAAGGATTTAGGACTAGGAGGGGGTCGCAGTCGGAAAATACACTGAACTGATTTGTGATGGCTCATTTAGAGACCATTTTACCGCGACCATACTGAGACATGGTCAAGGCCAACCTTCGGAGACTGGAGATGTGTCTGATTCATGAGAGGGTGTCCAGCAACTAAATCTCAGCATACTTAACCAAAAGACAGCCGTTAGGGACTCTTAGGTCATTGGTGCGGAGGGAGAAAAGGTGTGGGGATAGAATGGAACCTTGAAGGACTCCGCTGTCATTGGGAAGGACCGTAGAGTTCCGCTTGCCGGATTGGACCAGGATTGATTGAAATGAATTACACAGACGCCTTCTCAGAGGAACCGTGCGCCCCAGTAGAGCAACAGATTGGTAAAAAGCGGCAGGGTATTTTCCTATTTCCCTATTTTGTCATCAGTACCATTCTTGGCAGGCTGGACAGCGGTAACATCATTGGTCACTAGACCTCGAGGCAGGGAATTCCCCCCCTCCCCCCTGTAAATTGCACGTCAGACAGTAAGAAGCCAGACAGAGCCCCTCTTAAAATAAATGCAAAATTGTTTTCGAAGCACGTGTTTACTGCCTCTTTTCTTGCCGTCCTCCCTACGAATGCAACAGTCTCGAGGTCGCACGCCCGAGCTGAAGCTCCGAGTTCCCCCCTTCTTCTAATCGGAACGTCACGAGGGTTCAGTCCAGCGGTTGTTTGGAAGGGTCCCTTTTGCGGAAACGTCTCGTCATCGGCAGATGTTTGCGTGAGATATGAGGGGGGGAGGGAGACGAAGGTCGGTTGTTTTTTTAACTTCTGTTGACGTGCTTTACAAATCCGGTAGAGGCTCTATTTGGAGCGACAAGATTTCCCTAGGACACAAAATGACAGTCAGCCGAGTATCACAGGGTTTAAAACAATCCGGAAACTCTCGCCTCCCCTCCAATTCTGCTGCCATACTGAGGGAGCTTGAAAACGAAGTAGCACGAAGCAGTAGACTGGAGACACCTAGCGGGGGATGTTTTCTAGCCAAGAGACATTTTCGACTATCTACGAGTCACAGTTAGATCAGTGGTCTCGTTAGCTAGTTACAGGCATTACTTGCGACACGTGTTAACCAGATAGCACGCAGTCCGCGTATCCCCATTACAAATACCACACAGTAAGAAAGGGTGTTTCGTTGCACACCTAGGCGCAGGTTTTGCTCCGCGCCAGCCACGTGCGTCTGATCCTAGCAGCAGATGGCTGCCCGGCTCAGACAACAGACTGATGCATGGAGAGGGAAGGGAGAGTGAGGTCGACACTGCGAAATCACTCCTGCGTAACTTCAACGCATTCATCGCAGTAAAAAAATCCCATCTGCCTCACTTGGAAGGCTGCCAACTGACTCGGTACTCCTATCGGGGCGGGGAGTCAGGCTGTAATGTCTTCCTCTGAATGTGGCCGATATGACATTCCCGTCCAGATGGGATCCGAGCTGCCTCCTTGTTTCGCTGAACAGCTGGTACACTGTGCCTTCCCCAGATCATATGCGGCACGCGCAGACTACAGTTCAACTTTGTCGGCCATTGTGTTCGAGGCCACATCCGTTCCTTCTGCCCATGTGGATAAGGGAGAAAACGGTGCGGCAGGAGCTGCGCAAGGCAGTTATCCCCACAAACCGCATCACGCCGCCGTCCGTCTACGCGTGCCGCGCGCGACCCAGTGGCGGCACCGACTTCTCAGAGAGACAAGGAGGCGGCTCGGGTCCCATCCGGGCGGGAGTGCCATGTAGTCCACATTCAGACAGAGACACTACAGTCTGACTCATCGTCCTGAGAGGAGGGCCGGATCAGTTGGCGGCCCCTAGCGCTTCCTGCCCGTTTAAAAGCGCGTCAGGATGTTGAATAGTGATGAGTGCGTGGAAGTGACGTAAGAATGGATTCCGAGGCGTCGACCTCACTCTCTCTCTCTCCTGCCACGCAGCAGTCTGTCGTCTGCGCCAGGCAGCCTTCTGTGGCTGGGATTGGGCGTAAGTGACTGGCGCGGCGTGAAACCTGCACCTAGGCGTGTGGCAGTTGTTACTGAACCTCCCACGATAAGTGGGAATATGTGAAGTAAAAAACATGATTTAATGGCTATTTTTGTGCATTTAAAGCCCCCATCGTCCCTCACTCATCCTGATAAACAATTCACACACAGCACGAAGCCTTTACATTTTCTTAGATACAAGGTGAGAATCAGTAAGTGGAGAATTCGGGAAGTTCCAACTGACAGCAACCCTTGATAGGGATCCTAAACTCCCGAGGACTGAACACCTACTGCCTGCACAGAGCACTAGGCCATCGACCGAGGTGTATGTTCCCCCTCCTGCTTCTATCCCGGCCAGCACTAACTTAGGGGCAGAGGAGCCAGTGACTCCACAAAGCGGCGCAGAGGTAGAAAATGCCGCTCTGAGAAGATCGACCCAAATCCGCAAACCTGTCCAACGCTTTCAGGATGAATCGCATTAGAACATTGTTTAGATATCCACTACTACCTTTACCGTATTCTCTCTCCTCCCTATGCTGTCCACGTTAGGGTGGAGGGATGCAGCGTATGCTGCCCGGGCTGTCGGGACATCATGCCACATGCGCGTGACGAGCGATCCGTCAAGGTCATGTACCCTGTTCATACCTTCTTTGTGCTAATTGGCCACCCTTCTGCCTATGACATTCCCCCCTGCCGTATACCCGGCCGTTTCGACAAGCCGCCCCACTTGTGCTGTCCCTCGTACTCAGTACACGTCCTGTTTACGACTAACCTTCTGTGTTGCATACATGACACTACCTGTAAAAATTACCTTCAGTTCCAACGGCATGATATCATGCTGATGCAATTTTTAAGTTTCCGCGAGGCCTACAAGATCTACATTACGATTCCGACAGAACGGTCACTCAGGCTAAAATTGTGCGGGCCTTTGGAATCAGGAGAAATAGGGTATCGATTCATTTGCGGACTCAGTCGTATCTAGACTGGAGATCCGACGCAGGCTTGCAGTATCGGCGGTTAAAGCAGGTCTCGTAGTAAACGTTTATCTGTCCTGTGAACTTTCAATTGCCTCAGGTCTGCACCAAAAACCATTTGGAAAACAAAATCCTTTGTAGTGGTCGCTCTGCTGACTCAAAAACAACCTTCCTAGTGCTTTTTCGTGCAGAAACAACTCAGACACTGAACCACCTTGAGGCAGCTTATATACGAAGGGGGAAACCTGGCTTGTGAAAACAGCTAGACAGCGTGGTCAATCCGAGCTTAATTTACACACCCTTTGTGTCTCTGCTTCATCTACTATGTTTTTTTGAAGTTATCCCTTTGTCATTTGACGGAGTTGTCAAAAATACAGCGGCCGCGGTGGAATTCGGATCAAAGACAGCAAGGGTAAGGCTTGAGTGGAGCCAACATTATAACCACCTGAGCTATCAGGCACCATCGAGAGCCGTGAGGTAAATCTAATTTGGGTCAAGTTGCCCGATCGCCAGGTTCTGGGGTTGAAACTATCGAGATGCTTCTACAAAGCAAATACGATGAAACGGAGAATCGTCTTGGACACGTCCATGTCCTTCAGCTCCTGAAATTCTGTCTCAGGAAGTACTTCACTTTCGACGGGACAATCTACGAACAGGTGAAGGGCACACTAATGGGTTCGCCGATTTCGGCATTCATCGCCGAGGCGTTCCTGCAACGGTTAGAGTCGCTGGTCTTCCAAAACCACAGACCGAAATGCTGGGCCCGGTATGTGGATGACACCTTCGTCGTTATCGACCGGGATCAGCTGCTGACATTCAAGGGACATCTGAATGCGGACTTCTCGGACATACAATTTACGATGGAGGAGGAAGAGAGCAAGTTGCTCGCCCGATCTACCGAAGCGGAATTTCCAGAATCCTCCAGATGACTACCAGGTTCGAATTCCATCGGGACTCCCGAGTTTCTCACAACTGGGTCAAATAAATAAATCAGATCTGCCAAACACACCTATTACCCATTTTCCTCGACCGAGGGGTACTGTACCTTGACCTTGCTGTTTTCGTAATGATTTTTTGAGGAAATTCCACTACTTGCTGCATGCTTCTCGTTTCTTCAACAGGCTATGAAGTTATAAGTAGCTTTTAGCATCAGTAAGTTCTGCTTAAATTAATCGGTTACCCTGTCAATATTGGTTGCTTTCGCCTCCACTTGCCCTTGAGAATTTTGTTCGCGGCATCTAATGCATGCATTGTCCGTATGCATTGCTTCTAGGGCCTTACGAGCATTCTCTGGTAAGCAGCCGGCAACATCGTTAGACTCGAGAGAGGGGCCCGAGGGCGATCCAAGGCACAACGGGACGAGTGAGTTCCGTACAAACGCTTGATGAGCGCCCCTCTACCACTGTATATTCCCGATCGCAACCTACAGGACAACGAGCCCGTGCCTTAGTAGCTAGATGCGTTAGACTTCTAATCAACAGGTGGTGGGATCGAGCCCCAGATGTTGCGCATTTCGGGATTGGGTATGGCTGGCTGAAGACGGCTAATAAGCCAGAAACGGCCATTCCAGTCTCCCTTGTCTTCATCGGTAATAACGTTCCGTCTATATCATGCGTCCGTTTGGAAAACAAAACCCCCCATTCCTTTATAGTGGTCATTCTGCTGACTCAAAAACAACCTTCCTAGTACTTGTTCGTGCAGGAACAACTCAGACACTGGACCACCTTGAGGCAGCTTATATACGAAGGAGGGAGAACCCTGGCTTTATTTACTGTGATTTTTTCCGAAGTTACCCCTTTGTCCTCTCCTTGTTGTCTTGGGCTTGGATCCCACAGAGGCGACGAGTTTTTCACAGCTGGCTCAAAGTGAATTATTAAAAATCTACCAAAACACATATTAATTTAAAAAACGAACTATTTACTAACCGAACTTCTACTGAGGAATGATCACTGAAACAGGTCTCCCGTCCGGACGCCATAGCCGCGTTCAGAGCAGGGTTGAGAAGTTCCCTGTGCGTAGAAAGCACACAGGACTGTGTGACAGTGGAGGTTAGGATGCCACCGACGGCGGTCATGGGTTGCGTCGCCTGCTGCATTAAGGGGCCATTTTCGACGTCTGACAAAGCACTAGGTTAAGCAGGCGCTCGGTGTGGCATAGACAGCTGTCCGCATTAAATCTTTTAGTAATGGTGCGCCGAAATAACGATCAATGTGAGAATCGTTTGCGCCTTTTCAGTCCGAAGGTACCCCTCGGACGGCCAATCTTCAAAGTTCAGAGGACGAAGATGCGATCACTGGGACAGGAAATTTGTTGGCCTGCCGTTTCAGATTCTCATTCGAACCCATCACCATAGACAGTTGCAGATAAGGGTACTGATGGCACAAGGAGCGCAGTATTTATAGCACGTAGCTGCCGTACGACCATGTGCGTACTGTGCGGAGTAATCTCCCAGTTTCTCCGACGCAGTTGCTTTGTCCGCAACTGCGTCAGATCCCGTATTACCGAGCACGCGGCAGCAGCAGTGAGGCGGGGAGATGGTAGCTCTCAGGTGGCGGCTCATTCGACGGGACCCGGCCATATTTTCAAGTGACGAGAGCCCGAAATCCTCGCAAGGAGAGACAACCGCGTGAGCCGCGAGCTGCTCTAGTCATGGTTCTCAGGCCCGCAATCAATCAACAAGCGCAGTGACCTCCCGTTACCGTATTGCGTTCTGAGATTTCCCCTGAGTAGGGGAATCAGTCACGGGTGATGTGGGACAGGTTCGTGTGTGGCGTAAGTCACGGTGAAAATATGTGTGGTGATATGTTTTCGCCGGCGAGGTTTTACCACAACCACCGTCAGACACTGATTCTCAAGTGGCCCCACCACCACCACCACCACCAGAAATGCGGACTTGATCGCAACCCACATCTTTCTACCAGGTATTCTACCTATACAAATTACCTTCAGTTCCAACGGCATGATGTCTTATTGATATCATTATTATGCATCTACGAGGTATACAAGATTTACATTACCATTCTGACAGAGTAGTCATTCAGACCAAAATTGCACTAGCCGTTGGAATCAGGAGGAATGGACTATCGACTCATTTTCGGACTCAGTCGCATCGGGATTGAAGACCCGACGCAGGCTTGGAGTAACGGCGGTTAAAACAGATCTCATAGTAAACTTTTATCTGTCGTGTGAACTTTCAATTGCCTAGGGTCTGCACGAAAACCGTTTAAAAACCAAATGCCCTCAATCTTCTATCGTTGAGCATCTCCTTTGTAGTGGTTACTCTGATGATTCAATAACAAACTTCCTAGTACTTCTTCGTGCAGGAACAACTCAGACACTGGATCACTTTTAGGCAACTGATATAGGGAGAAGCCTGGGTGGTGAAAACAGCTAGACAGCGTGGTCACTCTGAGCTTGCCCTGGTAATCTCCAGTCCTTTGATTTACACACCCTCTGTGTCTCTGATTCACCTACTGTGTGTTTTTCTAGTTATCCCTTAGTCATTTGACGGATCTGTCATATATATGACGGCCTCCGTGGAATTCGAATCAAAGACAGCATGGGTAAGGCTTATGTACAGTCACCATTCTAACCACCTGAGCTATCAGGCCCCATCGAGAACCGTGAGTTAGATCGAATTTGGGTCAAGTTGTCCGATCGCCAGGACCTGGCGGTCGAGGCAATCGAGCTGCTTCCACAAAACAAATACGATGAAACGGTGAATCGTCTTGTACACGCCCAACTCCCTCAGCTCCTGAAGTTCTGTCCCAAGACGTATTTCACGTTCGACGGGACTATCTACGAACAGGTGAAGGGCACACCAATGGGTTCGCCGATTTCGGGATTCATCGGCGAGGCGGTCCTGCAACGGATAAATTCGCTGGTCTTCCAAAACCCCAGACCGAAATTCTGGGCCCGGTGTGTGGATGACACCTTCGTCGTTATCGACCGGTATCAGCTGCTGACATTCAAGGAACATCTGAATGCGGTCTTCTCGGACATACAATTTAAGATGGAGGAAGAGAACAACCAGCTGGCCTTCCTGGATGTCGTCATATGCCGCAAAGATTGTGGTGGACTAAAGACCAACGTGTTCAGGAAAGCGACATATACGATGCAAGTACTGAAGTTCAACAGCAACCACCCAATCAGCCACAAACGCAGTTGTGTGAGGACGCTCTACCGGCGTGTCGATACGCACCGCAATGAGCTGGAAGACAGGATTGCCGAACTGCAATACTTCCGACGGATCTTCAAAGCCAATGGCTACCCGCGCAACTTCGTCAACCGGTGCATAGGCAAAAGGGACGAAAGACCTAACCGCACGGAAACCAAATTTTGGCGAGCGCTTCCGTATGTCAAGAACGTTTCGGAAGCTGTCGGCCGCCTTCTCGCACCATTTGGATTTGGAGTTGCACACAGACCGGAGGCAACCATCAGGCGTCAGGTAATGAAACCGAAAGACCCGATGCCACGGCTAGAAACGTCTGGAGTCGTTTATCGGATCTGGTGCAGTTGCGGACAAAGCAACTACGTCGGAGAAACCGGAAGACTGCTCCGAACGCGAGTGGCCGAACGCGCTGCAGCGGTGCGGAGAAATGACGCCAGCTCTCAAATTGCAGCTCATTCGACGAGATCCGGCCACACATTTAACTTTGACGAGGCCGAAATTCTCGCAAGAGGCGACAACCGCGTGAGTCGGAAGCTGCTTGAGTCATGGTTTACTGGTCCCCAGTCCATTAACAAGTGCAATGATCTTCCCCTTCCATACTCAGTGCTGAGACCTCGCCTAGGCGGAGTACTTGGCCACGCCGGAAGCGCACAGGTGAACACTTTTCCCAACGCCAGGGTCGGTGCTTCAGATGGTCGAGCAATCATCACACCAACACCCAACGCACGTGATAAAATAGCGGCAATTAACGACGCGAATGTCGGCCATCACACCAAATGCAGCGATCCCTGATGATGTGGGAAAACGTGAATATTCATAGGTATGCGGTGGCATGGCGACTACATCTATAAATACTGCAGCCCCTTGTGCATGAACCACCTGTATCTGCTTTTGTCTCTGATAATGGGTTCGAGTAGGAATCCGAAACGTCAGGCTAATAAAGCTCTTGTCCCAACGATCGTGTGCCCTTCTTCAATAATACTTCTCGTATTCGTCTGATAGAAAATTATGCCTTTTCTTACAATTTGTAGCCGGGAAGGGTATCTCTCGGTCTTAAAAAAGTTCCCAATTATGAGATTTGTTAAAACCACGCAATGTCCATTCTAATAGCATCGTGTCCGTTTGTTTAATAATTCTCCTCATAAAAGTTGCAACATAGTATCAATCCGTTGCAGCACTTTATGAGTCCATTCGATACCTTTTAATAGCATAAAACAATGTATGCTTTTCAATACATGTACAGTATGCAGATTTTCGATTGTAAACCCTGAACGATCAAGATCGAATTTATTTAGGCATTTCAACACTTTTAAAACCAAAGAGATATCCTGTCTTCGCATATCAATCTCAAAGAAGACATGATTTTCTACCAAATGAGTACAAGGAATACTTTTATGCAAGCTTTTTTGTAAAATATGCCTGAATTTAGGGGGCTATTGAAAATCAATTGGAAAAATCCATACAAATTAAGTAGCCATTGTTTTACCAAGTGTGGTTCCCGCAGGCGACCGATTAGTACATTCAAATGCCAACACCATGTCATGTCTGAAATATCACCGGATTACGTAGCAAAATAATCAATCTTACAACCCCACTTAAACAGTCTTTCCTAATCGAGAACGCATTCCTGAATGTCGGTTAAGATTTCGTGGGATCGGTCTCTGGCTGTATTTACCGGAAAAGCTGGACTGGTTTGGGAAAGGTCTAAGTTTTTCACTAGTTCTTCAAGACTTCATCAATTGCATCAGACGAAGACGCGGCCCGGGGGGTGTTATTAGCAGCCACTGAGAAATAAGTGACGCTTCCTTGCACGTGCAACCCAACATGGGTTTTGCACTTTAGAAAATGTTTGGTTTAACAAGAATGAACTCCACTGATCCATAGAAGACCCTGACCGACGTACGAAGATGCCAATGGTCGCAGCTTGCCGACTGCAGGATTAAGCCATTGCTGTGGCTTCGGATCTGGGTCAGTGATTATGAGTCGTACGCACTCACTTGAAACTGGTTCACGTGGAACCAAGCATAGCAAGTGGCATAGTGCCACCCCTCGGCTTGGCAACACGTCGAAATGCTAATCTCACTAAAAATCGTGCCAGTCGGACGCCTACACCCTAAACCTAGCATGTCGTGTCTGCTTACCCGATCTTATTCTACACCGTGTTTTCTAGGCTCCAGTGACTGTCTCAGTGCTTTCTAACACTGTCGTCGATTTCGACTGGGGGTACTGTGGCAGTCCACTCCAGTAGTTGTGAAGGCATACACCTATCCGTACGGCCGAAAACTAAATATTGGAGCGGGAAGTTGAATCAGCATGGCGTACATGGCGTCCTGTCACTTCTGAATAATTATATCAACTCGAGATACGGGATGACTTCTCCCACTGACGAATTTATTCCAAATTTCCGGCAAAATCTGATACTCAAGAAATCTCCCCCGCTGTTCCCTATCACGGGCAAGGCTCCTTTGTTTATGTGCATTAGGCTGGAAAGTGCGCCCACTGCGTCCCTTCACAAACCGAAAAATCGGGATTTTGCGGCCATGAAATGTACATGTGATCCGATATGGGGAATCGAACTGTGTTCAGGAAACGTGGGGCGGATCCAATTTCAAAAATTCAGGTTCGCAAACTTTGACCATTTGGTAAGATGTGGTTCAGTAGCCCCACCTGATGGACACAATACTGTTGGGGGTTGGGAGCTATGGGTAAGGATTAGGGGTTAGCGCAACTATTTCTCACACACACCATAACCCCGAATTTCCAACAGCTTTCCTCCTGCATAAAACTACTTGACCTCGTCGCCTGTGCGTTCCTCGGCCCCACATGTAAAAAACCCTATTACCACCGGTCCCCTATTAGAGGTAACTGGGGTTTGTTTACTGTAGGTGCGACTATCAAACCACATTCGACCGACCATTTCGCCGTAAAAAAAAAATTAGCATTGCACATGCTTGGTAGTAGTTCATTCTACGACCGTGAGAACTAAAAGTACGCAAACAAATATGTGGGGAGTACCTGCGAACTGTCCTCTGTTATGCCGCGCCACAAAGGCATCACGGAAATTTTTGTCGGTAGCCGACTTTGAACGTATACTTAAGTTAGCAGCCAAATTGTTGTCGCACGAAAAAGGCAAAGTTGACCAAAACAGTCCACAGGCAATCGAAAGAACGGCTTTTATCGTCTTGGCGCTAAAAGAAGTATGGAGAACCTGGGATTCAGACGGGAGACCCTTGGTCATTGTACCTAATGCTCCACTAGTGAACCGCGGAGCCGTGGACCTGTCGATTGTGGGGGCACGAGTACTGACTATGCTACAGGTTTTGTTGTGCTTTTTTCGTCAGTCCTCTGCATGAATAGGCTGCATGCTGCCCATTTGATAGGAATGTTTTCCCTTCCGGTGCGTCCGTTTAATGAACCTCATCTCCTACATTTGTCTCATTCAGCCGAGGAAAAATCGATAAAACACGTCGTCTGTCCGCACGCCGTACCGGCGTCGGCAACAGGGTGAAGAAGCTCCCCCGTGCGTAGAAAATGCACACACACAGGACCTGAGTGTGACAGAGGACGTTGGAATCCAACCGAAGGTCATGAGCGACTGATATGTCCGAGAATCCTCGCCAGCCTATGTGGACCGCATAGGCGTCATCCTGCCGTGTTGGCGATTTGGCAAGGACAGAAGACACGCCCGCAGTGAGTTCGGCTCGGAGTCTCAACACTACTCAACCCGGCAGACGGGGATGAGCAGCGACTGTGACATGTATTTTCTTTTTCATGCTCGACTTTACAGGCCCACGAGCGACTACGTCACACTCACAGTACAGGAACAGGTTGGATGCTTTGTAGGTAGCACTAGTAAACCAACGCCCAAACACCGCACTACAGTCCAGTTTGGAAGACCAGAAGATCGCAAAAGAGCCCAGAAAGTTGTCGCCCTGGAGTGGCCTCCGTACCCAGCCGAGAATCTGACAAGGGATGACACAATTGAGACCTGAAAAATAAAAGTATAACTAAATCCGACACCAAAAAAGAGTTAATCAACGGAAGAAAATAATTCAGCAGGAGCAGGCAAATGCTACGGACGGTTCCGCCTTCATTAGGTCTCCTCTTTCCGTGACGTGGGGAGGGGGGAGGCAGGGGCAAGCGGGTGGTCAAATGAGCACTGACCCACCTTCTGATGGTATTTTCGAGATCTTTTTGGTGGAAGTCTATTGAAAATCGCAGCCTGCTGCGTTACGGGGGAGGGGAGAGAGGACGATGGGGGGGTCTACTCAATCTATGCTCTTTTACCCGTCTCGTAGTCCAATACGCAAGTCAGAAAAAAATAATAAATGTCCAATGGATGGATAAAATCTAGCAAAAATTAAAAATAATATATAATGGTGTACAAGAACATATTCATGAGCGTCGGAGGCATGGCTGGCCGTGTCTCCTGGCCTTTAAATTCGAGCCACTGAGGGGAAAGCGGCACTTCCCGGGGCAGCGAGCTGTGGAACTTCGGAGGGGAGGGGGAGACGGGAACGGTGACGGTAAGGTTTCAGCGGCTGTACACAGGGAGGGGGAGGGAATCGGTGTTTGAAGGCTTAGGAGGAAGCATCTAAGCCCGCTTCACGAGGTCCCAGGAGTCAAGCAGGAAGACAACGCCCTCGTAGGTGCCGATCATGAGGCAGCTATTAGGTATCTGTCTGATGTAATGCGTACCCAGGCCACGATAGAGGCCAAAGAAACCCTCCTCGGCAAACACTGTGCGTAGAGTGCCCAAGAAGGTGCGGTACTTTGTGCCCTCCTCCCTCATCCGTGTCCGGGCGACTTCTGTGTGGGGGAAGCGGGAAGATAATAAACTGGACGGTGAGACAGGTGTAGGGAGCATTAGAGACTGGTTCAAAAAGCGCCACAGAACACCACAGGCGCAGTCGTCCACTCGCGATCATGATCAAGTGCGCTGAGTACCCGATCGGCAGGATTATTAGGCAGAAAAGTTGCTCGGATTCATCTGAATATGACGTCTCGAGCCTGGGAAGGTGGAACGTCCATTCGGCTGTTGGAGACCTGGCAGAGCAACAAGAATACGAAACGTGAATCGCACCCAACTCTAGGTTTCGCAACCCTTGAGTGTCCCCACCCCCCTCTGACACTTCTAATACCCGGTCGCAACCGACAGGACAAGCTGGCTACTCAGTGGTTAGGGCGTTGGGCTTCTAACCAACAGGTCAGGAGTTGCATATCCCGAGGCTCGAATCCGCACTCAGTTGGTTAGAAGCCCAACGCCGTAACCACTGGGCCACGGGCTCGTTGCCCTGCCGGTTGCGATCGAGTATACTATGGTAGAGCGCGCTCACCGATCGCAGTACGGGACCTGTTCGTCCGTTGTGCTTTGGGGTTCGATTCAGTCTCGCAGAGCGAGTAGTGGCAATAATAGCCGTCGTCAGGTAGATTTATCAAACTACAGGTTTTGCAACATCTGAGGCTCTCTGCGCTCATAACCGACAGAAAGAGCCCCAAGCTCAGCAGTTAGTGTTGGGTGTTGGTTCGAAGTCTAGGTGCCCTCCAAACCTGCATTTGGATAAGGCTGGCTTGGGACGGCTAATACGCAAGAAATGGCCACATCAGTCTCCCAGGACTTTGTCGGTAATCTCATTCTGCTTACACTACTAGCCGTTGCCCGGCTTCCTGTGGGCTCTAGATCGAGTCTTAAAACACAACTGGACAAGTATGCCCCATAACGCAGTGAGCAACCCTCTACAATGGGTAATACGCTCGATCGCAACCGACAGGACAGGTGTTGGACTTAATGG